GGGTATTTAAACATGAATATCACTTCAGATGACTGCAGATATTAGGGGTAAATTTGAAGATCACTAGTGAAATGAACGTTTGTTTCCAACATCTGCAGTACCCTGACACTTTAGAATGGGGTGGGGGAGAAAAGAAAAAGATTTTGAATGAATGTCACAGTATTAAACCTCTGGAGTCATGGAAGATGAAAAGATGACCCAGAGAGCAGACTTAGCTTATTTCAAGCACCAAGAGGCCTTGAGGGGGCTATTTCTCCATCAAGAGGACCTAGCCATTAAGGAGACTCTGGGAGAAAACAAACAAACAAACAAACCCAAGTATAGATCCTTCTGATTTTTATTTAGGATATTAGTGTAAGAGAAAAAAGGGAAGGAGATGCCAGACATGACATACTTTGATAATCTTTTTTTTTTTTTTTTTTTTTTTTTTTTTTTTTTTTTTTTAATTTTTATTTAAGGAGAAAAGAAAAGAAAAAAAAAACAGTGAAGGGTACAAGTTATACAGATTTACAGAAGAAAAAAAATGCGCAGTAGGAAATCACTAGTTAATAGATTACATATTGCCATCTTAGAAATAATTGTTCAAGTCACAGAATTAAAGTTTGTAGAGTGGACATTCCAGCAATGATACTGCAAACAGTTCTGTTCAATGATCCATTAGAACTCTGTGATATCATTTTCTGTCTTATACATTTAAATATACATGCAGTTATATAGTTTAGAGCATTTTCTTTTCCTCTCTTTTGTACAGTGACTATTACACATTTTGGGTTTCATTGCTCCCACTGTTCTTATTGCTTTTTTGGAAGAGAGTAAAACCAAATGTGACATGACAGAACAGAATCGGTCAAGTCAAAAGGGTGGATATAATAGATAATATAAAAACATAATACAAGGTGATCAACAATGGTTACCCTAATGCCTCCCGCTATTTCTAATAGAATTGCCTATATCGTTAGTTGTAATACTATTGAACAAAACCGTAAAGGATAAAACCGACAAAACCAAAACATTGGAGATATTGTAGGTTTTCAAAAGTAGATAGAAGTCAACGAGAATGGGCGTTATAATGAATCTCATTATCTTCTCAGCTGATGCCTAAACTTTCGAACCTGATACTATTCAGCAAAACAGAATAGAGGAACCTCAGTCAAAAACAAGATGGTGAGAGTAATACAGGGCTTCAAATCGAGAAAATAGAAAGTCAAAGTGGGTTACTATATTATATCCTGCTATATTTTTCCCTTTAATTAAATGGATAACAATAAAAAAGTATATAATGGAGTGGAGATTGAGAAAAAGAAAAAGAGGGCATAACAGCGAAACAGGGCAGATCAAAACATAACCTTTTAAGCAGAATAGTGTTTCACCACCAGATATTTCCGACTTAAAAATAGTTACCATATTGACTCCCTCCCTGAAGTCCTTGAGTACAACTTCATATACTGTAGCATTAAGTATATCAAAACAATGTAAAACCATTTAAGAGAATGACAGCATTATAGAGTATTTGGAATTGACTAACAGAAAATGAACAATGGTCTCTGTATAATCTCCTTGTCTTTAAAAGGTTTTTGCTTATACTAACGTACATAACAAAATCCAATAAGATACAACCTGGTTAGACCATTGGAGACAGAAGAACAAAAGCTAGATGAGACTTCAAAACAAGATGGTACTGAATCAGCATTACCTATTAAGATGTCATTTTCTCAAAAATAGCTGTTCCTATCATCCAATCTTCTCTGTCTCATTTCTGTTGAGCTCTTTTTCTGTCAGTAGCTGTCAGTTTGTCTTCTTCATTTTGTTCTCTGCTCCATTCGTTGTGGCCTCCCTGCCACTATTTCTGGGTTCTTTGTATTTTTCTTTTTTTAGAATATCCTGCAATACTTTCTGTAGAGTTGAATTGGTGGTTGCAAATTCCCCCAGTTCCTCTTTATCCTGGAAGCACCTCGTTTTTCCATCAATTTCCAGGGACAGTTGTGCAGGATATCTCAATCTTGGCTGGAGATTATTATCTTTCAAAGCTTGAATTATTTCCCCCCATGCTCTTCGTGATTTGATGGTTTGTGAAGAGAAATCTGCTGTAATTCTGATGGGTGTTCCTTTGTAAGTGATCTGTTTCTTGTCTCTTACAGCTTTTAATATTCTGTTCTTGTATTGAATTTCTGGGATTTTTATTATTATATGCCTGGGTGTTTCTCTGTTAGGGTTGTAGGTAGCTGGGGTCCTGTATGCCTCATACAGCTGAGTATCTTTACCTTTTGCTAAATTAGGAAAATTCTCCTGGATTATTTCTGTGAGTAGCTTTTGTAATTCATTTGTTTGTGTCCCTACTTCTTCTTCTATGTTCTTAATCCTTAAGTGGTGGCTCCTCTTATCATCTTCTTGTCTTTGTATTATTGCTGTTTGTTTCTTTGTTATTTTTAAGAAGTTTTTCATTTCATTCTCCCATATTTCAAGTCTGCCCTCCAGTTCAGATAGTCTGTCCTTAGTTTCTTTCAAGCTGTTATGCCAGTCTTGTATAGACTTATTAATTTCTTGATAGTCCCTTTGAACCTGCTTCACATACTCAATGCTTTCTCTGTTTTCTCCATCAAGCAATTCTCCCCTCTTTTTCTGTTCTTCCATTCCACCATCTGTTTTTTCCTGGGTGGTGTTTAGCATTTCTCTAACTATTCTGCATACTTCTAGCTTCAGATCATTGATAACTTCATTCCTGAATTGGTCTATGAGGCTCTCAATATGGTGCTTAATGTATACTGGTGCGGCGTCCATTATTGCCTGTTTCTCAGGATTGGGGGCCGAGGAGCTTTTTTTGTTGCTTCCCTTCCCCATATTTTTTGTTCCTTATAAAATGCAATCTTACAAAGGAGGCCCGGCTTCCCTGCCTGTCAGCCACAGCCTGATCAAATTGCGCTGGCTAGTTGTTCCCGCCCACCGCTGCGCACCAGGGAGTCGGAGGAGGCAGCCTACGCGGAAGTCAGTCGCTCCTCCGGGCCATCGTCCGGCTCTGGGATCTGGGTTAGGCTAGTCTAGCCTAGAGAGTCCGCCAGCAGCGTCACTCAGGCCAGGCACTTTTCTCCAATCCCGTCCGAGAGGGGAATGGCGCCCAGAGAGATCTCCGCTAGAGTCAAACTGTGGTGGGGGGTCAGATTCTCACTCACCTCGCCACCAGTCAGTTTTCGTGTACACCTCTGTCCGTCCTTTTTTTTTTCGACTCCGTTCTCCCGTTCCCAGAGCTCGGCGCTCCCAGAGCTCGGCGCGTCTCTCCTTGCTGAGCCGCTGTGGAGATAGCCGGCCGCCGCACGGCGGGAAATCCAAACCGGTTTCCGATGGCGCGGAGTCGAGCCTCCACACCGAGATTTTTCTGTTCCTATTTTAGCGCCAGGACTGTATTCCAAGTTGGATTCTCTCAGCCCAGTTCGTTCCTGAGTCAGCAGAGCATATCTCTACTGATTCGTGTCTCCCTAGTCCGCATTATTTCTGGCCTCTGAGCCGAACCTTTCAGAGAGCCTCTGGTAGTTGCTGTTGTCTGTCCGCCATGTTCTCATGAAAAACTGTTCAACATCACTGGTCATTTGAGAGATGCAAATTAAAACAGCGCTGAGATTCCACCTCACCCCGGAAAGAATAGTTATCACCAAGAAATTAACCAATAACAAATGGTGGCGGGGCTGTGGGGAAGAAAGGAACCCTTCTTCACTGTTAGTGAGAGTGTAGAATGGTGTAAATATTTTTCCAGCCACTAAACTTTGAATATTCTTTAAGAAAGCTGCCCCTTAGTGACCTGCAAAATGTTGTGAAGTTGAGTATTCTGGCTGCAGATGTTATGGTGGGTTCCGCTGTTGTTCATTGAGGTTGTAACAGCCATACTTTGATAATCTAAATTCTTTTTTTTTTTTTTAATCGGTACCAGAGATTGAACTCAGGACCACACACTTGCAAGGCAGGCACTTATACCGCAGAGCTAAATCCCCAGCCCCATCTAAATTCTTCTTTAACCATTCGATTCTCACACACCTGTGTGCTTTGGCCCTGCAGTTTAACCGTTCGATCCTCACAGAGCCTGAATGTTTTTTGCCCCCAGTTTCATTATTCTCACAGTACCTGCGGCCCTTCTGTCTTGAAGTTTAATTCTGTGTGTTTTGCTCCACAGTGTAACTACCCCTCCTCATACAGCCTATGTGCTTTTGTCCTGCAGATTAATAATTCAATTTAATCATTCGCTCCTGGCCAGATCCCCACAGGTGAATATATGAGAACATATTTCAGTGAAGGCAAGAATAAAGGCAAGTGATTGAGGCCTGCTTCCTGATGGGTAAAAGAACCCAGGGAAAGGAAAAGGGCCCTTCTAGGCGAGCAGTTAGAATTACTAGGCCCAAAAGATACAGAATTCTGAATGTAATCATTATGTACCAAAAAACATGAGAGAGAGGGAAGGAGACACAGGGAGGGAGGCAAAGAGACACAGCGAGAAAAGAGGAGGAAAAGAATTCCAGCTGGTAGACTGTTAGCCTGTAATCCAACTACTGCGGAAGTGGATAGTTCGTGTCCATGAACTCAGACCAGCATGGGCAATATACCTAGATCCTCTCTTTTTCCAAAAACGTAAGATTTTAACCACTTAAACTGAACAGGAGCATACTGATGTTCAGGGTACAGGTCAGATTCCCCAGATTGCCTTCTGCAACGTTGGGCTGATTGCCCTTCAGCCTCAGTGAAAGTGGCACTCTCGTTTGACTTTGCAGAGCAGAAGTCTAGGTGAGCTTCAGTGCCGCAATCAGGTTAGCTCTCCCTTCAGCTCTGAGGCACAACCCACAACTCCGTATCACCAGCGCGGAGAAAGGCTGTTTTTCAAGGTTCCACGCGCGGGCGTGCCGGGGCGAGCGCTCATGGCCCAGCACCGCCTCCGCGCTTGTCCTCTCCGGCGATCCGTAGGGCCCTCCCAGCGAGCTCCACGTCGGCCGCGCAGGCGCCCTTGGCCTGCTGTTCACCTGCTGCCGCTGCCGTTGTCGCCGCCGCTGCCGCCGGGGCTGAATGGGGGGGCCGAGGCCGGCCAGTGGCACCCAGAAAAAAGAGACGCGGCGGCGGCGACGCCGACACTCACAGGGCGAGTATTCCGGTCCACCAGCGAACTTCAAGAGGCGGTGACGAAGCCCAGCCCCCGCAGCGCCTGGTGTAAAGAAGCCGCCTTCGGCCTCCCTTTCGCGGCCCGGACTCCCCGGGCTCAATTCCCTCAGGTCTCGTCTACAATCCGTGCTGCACCATGTTCAAGAAACTGAAGCAGAAGATCAGCGAAGAGCAGCAGCAGCATCAGCAGCAGCAGCAGCTCCAGCAGGCGCTAGGTCCTAGTCAGGTACGGAGGCCGCAGCTTTTCTCCCTTAGCTCCTGACGCTTCTGGACTTCGGCTCCGGCCTGAGAAATCGGGGGAAGTTGCTCCGTGACCTTTGACCTCTAACCCCAGCTCTTTTCCCGAATCGGAGGGAATGCTTTTAGGGCTCCCCAGGTCCTCCCAGACTAGTGACCCGGATCCTCCATCCAAAATTCCGTGCTTGGATGAGATAACCAGATGCATCGTGACATCAGACCGGAGTTTTTTTCTAAAAAAAAACTCTGGCATGAGGATGAGTGACAGGGGCTCCGGTGTTGCTTGATTGCCAACCCATATCAGAGGTTCTCCCACTCATCGAAGACCCCAACCCCGAAGTGATGATGGTTGGGGAAACCCAGGCCCCATGTGAAATCTGACTGAGGTCCTCTCTCCCATCCTAATCTGAGAGAGATTGACTTTGGAAGGGGCATCTTCTCGCAGTACTCTGACCTGTCATTTCAGTAGTCTAATTTAAAACTGTGGTCCAAGGGTGAGATCAGGGCGTCGAGCCATCTTGGGCCATGTTGCTACTGGAGCAGTGGGACTTTAAAGAGGTGGCCAGCGTCCAGCGCTCGAGGTTGTCACGAGTTAGTTGGCATAACTTGGTTGATCCTAGGACAGGCAGAGGGGCAGACAGTCGGAGACCAGGCGGACCAGTGCCTGTCCACAACCGACTTTCTCCCTCTTATTAGAGTCTTGCTGCTTGAGAACAGTGGATACCTTTTGCTTTGGGAAATAAGTTTTCAGGAACAACAGGGCATGTTAGTGTTAATTTAAAGAAACAATTCCCTACCGAGCTCACTGAATATACTTTGGTCCTTCAGGCTAAGGTGAAAGCTTCTGCTAATTTCTTTCCTGCTTTTCTGAATCTCAACAGATTGAGCACAAATTTCTGTTTATTTTAGGGTTGGTAGTCTTTGCCTGTATTTCAGGAAAGTTTAACTAATTCGGTGTAATTTTTAAACGTAATACGTAAACTACTGCATTGAATTTTTTCCCCAAAAATGTAAATGGCAATTCTCCTTAAAATTTGTATAGATTAAAACGGTGCTTGAGAAAAGAATCAAAGAATGACATTGAAGGGTTGTTTTTTCAATAGAAAAAGTTTATAATTGAAATTAAAGATTGTATTTTGCTGTCACGAGTTAGTTTGCATAATTTGGTTGTTCTGAGGACAGGCCGAGGGGCAGACAGTCAGAGACCAGGTGGGCCAGTGACTGTCCACAACCCCACCTGAAAAATTTTTTTTTTTTTTGCCTTTTTGAGACAGGGTCTTGCTACACAGTTCAGGCTGGTCTTAAGCTCACTTTGTGCCCCAGGCTGGTTACAAACTCACAAAGATCCTCTTGCCTCAGCCTCCCAACTGCTGGGATGATGGGCACGCCATCATGTCCGACCAACTGCAATCTTTTTCAACCTTGTAAAACTACTGGTATTTAAGAAACAGGAACCTTAAAAATGAGTTAGAGATGTGGAATGTAGGAAAATTTCTTTTTTGTGTGTTTTATTCCCCTTTGGTTCTGGGATTGGAATTAAGGGTCTCATGTGTGCTGTGCACTTATATTTAGGAATGAATGTAATATCATTAACTATTTCTATTCTATTTTATCTATATTTCTATTCTAGAAATTATCCAAAGAAAATTGAGGATGTATAAAGATTTCAAACATGGATTTTCTTTAAGATTTTTTTTTTATATAACATGCTAGTCATACAGAGTAGTGAGGTTCATTTTAGGAAACTTTTTGTGCATTTGACATCTTGCTTATTTTCAATCCCGTTACATTCTCCTTTTCCTCTCTTCTTCCCCAAACCCCTTCTCTTTTCAAAAGTTAAAGGTTGTTTAAGTAGGTTAAAAATTAGCTAAAAATGAGAGACAGTAGGGAGTTAGTTAAATACATTGTCATTAGGCAGTTGGTGGTTATATACTTTACAAATGGCCAACATTTATTGGATCCTTTCTTACTATATACTAGGCATTTTTAGTATTTTACCACAATGTTTTATTTAATCTCGAACCTATCAGATAGTTTTACTCCCCTTATAGGTGGAGTGAAGCTTAAAGATGCCTAACTGCATAGTGTCAGCAGAGTGTTATTAACAAAGAAAGATACAAGTTTTAAAAAGATTAAAAGCAGTGTGTAAAGTGTGATCCAAGTTTAGGTTAAGAAAAGTGTATGAGGGTGTACTTATATATACATGAAGTGAAAATACCTAGCTTATCATGACATACTCTAAGGTATCAAGACATTCAGTGCTTTATTTTATTTGTAATGTGTAAGTTTTCTTTATGAAAATGAATTGCTTTTGTGTTAACAGGTTTTTAACAATATGAAAAGGTAGTTGCAAGCTAAGATGTTGGAGTTCCCAGCTTGCTTGCTTTTTTTTTTTATACAGTAGTGAGGATTGAGCCCAGGGTCTTCACCCTGAGCTAGATTTAATCCTACTTTTGATTTTTGATTTTCACTAAAATTGCCGGGTTAGACTTGAATTTGCAATCCTCCTGCCTCAGCCTCTTTAGGGTGCTGGGATGACAGGACCACAGCTGGATTTTGTTTTTTTTTAATTGGCAGTAATGGGAATGGAACCTGTCTTAGTTACTTCCTTGTTGCTGTGACAAAATACTTGACACTCACAAGTTAAAGGACTAGAGATTCAGTTCATAGTTAATAATTTTGGTTCAGTCAGCTGGCTGTAAGACAAGACAGAATGGCAGAGGGGCATGGGAATGGGAGAAGAGAAATAGTCTGTGGCAGGGTAAGCAGAAGAAAAACAGCCATGTAGCAGCATGGAGCCTCCCTTTCCCTTTTATTCTATTGAAGCTACAAGCCTGTTGGTTGGTGCCACCCACACCCAGAAGTAGACTAAACTAGTAAGCAGACTAATACAGTTATCACACACTCTTAATCTATATTCACACATCCCAGATCCAGCCAGCTCTGAAAAGCCCCACCTCTGAAGAATACATGAGGCTTTAGTGTCAGGGTGGTGACATCAAGATACAAGCCATAACAGAACATAAGGGTACTCTACCAGTGAGAACTTCTGATTTCTATAGCTTAATATTTTTGGCAAGAAAAGTATTTGGACCAAACAAAATTAGTTTATATATAAAAGATCTAAAGAAATTCTTTTAGATAATGTTTATACTTATCCAGAACTCAAAAGTAAATTGTGAGTGGCCCACTACTGGTAGAAACTTAATTGTCTTCTAGCTCCAGATCTTTAGCTACTCAGAATCCTTTGGAAATGAGATCTCAAGAGACTACTGTCTTCAGAAATTGAGGACAATTTTCATGCATGATTTAAAAAAAAAAAAAAACTTTGTAACACTTTCTTTTTGCAGTGCTGGGAGTTGAACTCAGGAACTTATACATGGTAGGCAAACGCTGTAGCACACGAACTACAACCCTATCCCTCTTATTTGTAAAAAATTTTATGAAAGTCTTGCTAAATTGTCTAGGCCGTAGGCTTACCTCTATCTTTTATCTTTCTGCCTCAGTCTCTTTAGTAGTTGGGATTGTAGACATGTAGATTTTTCTTTTTCTAACAAGAGATCTTCAATTTATGTATTATCTTGATTTATCAAGGTCATCATTTTTCAGTATAAATTATTTTCTGTTGAAGGCATTATACCCTGAAGGATTTATTGGTTTACTCATTCAAAAAAATGTGCTTGTTCTTTTTGTTCTTACCCCTTGGTTCTTGAGTGAAACCAAGGGCCTCATGCTTTAAGCTCCTAATATATCACCGAGTTACATCTTCTACACCTGTCTGTTCTTAGTCTACTATTTTTGTGGTTATTTTATAATGTTTTTTGCTATCTATCATCTTCTTTCAGTTTTTTTTTTTTTGTTTGTTTTGTTTTTAAGGCAGGGCCTCCCAGTGTAGCAGAGGCTGGCCTGGCCTCCAACTCACAGCCATCCTCTTGCCTCAGCCTCCCAAGTCCTGGGATAACAGATGTGCACTACCACACCTGGCTCTGTCATGTTCTTCTTGCTTTTGAACTGTGTGCTCTTAGAAATAAGATGTGTACATTCATAAAAGTTTGTGTAAAAAGAAGGGAAAATACCTGAGGGATTATTTAATTTGTATTTACACAAAATTTGAGACATTCATTTTGAATTTTCAGAGGCCTTTTGGTGCTTACTTCCTGATTAATTTGTTTTCCATAGGTGAGACTATCTGATAGGTTTGTTTCCAGTTGAGTGAATTGTCAGGTGTAGATAATTCTGTGATAAATTAACCACTTTTATCACAATATTTGCAAAACTTTCTGGTAGTAGTAATAGTGATAGTTTATAAAGTTCTGTAAGGTTTTAAAGTATTTAACCAAACTGTCTTCTAATAAGTCCCAATGTCTGCTGTTTGATTAATGATAAGTTTAAAGTTCTTCCCTTTGCATGCTGGTAAATACTCTACCACCAAGCTACATCTCAGCCCTGCAGATATTATTTAAAATAATCATTTGCTCAATTCTGATGATTTCTTGAAGCCTAATAACTAATTAGAAATAGCGTTAAAACGACAGGTGATACAATTTCGTGGTAGAGTGCTGTTCTAGCAAAGTCTTAGCACAGCAAAACAAACACACAAACAAACAAACAAACAAAAAGGCTGGTACCTGTTTGCTGGAAGTGGTAGTCCTGGACTCAGGAGGTTTAGACAAGAGAGTCTGTTGAGCCTACACAGTGATGGTGAACCTTTTAGAGCTTTCAATGATATAAACACATTCATACAAACATTCATACTTACTTTTTTTTAAAGAAAAAGTGTCTCATCATTTCTGGTGGTTTATTTATAGTTATGCAATCCTGGAGGTTGAGTTAGTTACAAGGCTGACGTGAGTTTCAGTCTTGTTACTACTATTGCTGTGTAGATGGCTAGAAATGTGGAGGGGGAATGGTAAGGCAAGAATTCCTCCTTTGTTAGCTAAAACAAAGAGGACCCTACTTGAAAAGGTGAAAATTTATCCAACTTTTTTT